ATTATGTAGACTGTCCTGAAAATAAGATGTAGAGGCCAACTCTGACAGTCGGTCATTCTTCTTCTGCTCGAGCAACATTCGAGCATCAGAGTACGTTCTCTTTGACCCGTCCGACTGAATATGACGAATGGGCTTTCTCTTCCCTGGTGAGGGGAAGCGGTACTTAGTTAGGTCGATCACTGGCGCCTCCCTCTCCCTAGGCTTAGGGTAAGGGGTCGCCTTCTGATCCTTTACAAGCTTCTTCCTCCCAGATTGGGAGGGTCTTCTGGCCGACTGTTCCTTTGGTGGAACGGTCGCCCTTTTGTTGATAAGCTCCTGGATCTCCCCCTTGAAACTATTCATGAAGGTCATGAGTTCATTTCTGGTGATGGGGGCAGATCCCTCGGCCGCCTGTTGATGATCAAGCGGCAGGCCGGCTGGTTTACTAGATCCAGCCAGGCAGTCCTCCCATTCCCTCCTTTCGGTGGGACGGGTGCGTCGAGCGCTTAAGGTCCCGTCAGAGGTTGTATGAGTCTCGACTTCAATTTCATTGTTAGTATCCTGGTCCGTTTGAACCAGGGGGTCGCCCATGGGACGCTTCTCACATAGAATTGGTACAGGCTGTGATTCCATCTCGAAAATACTCTCCCCACAGACGGCGCCAAAACGTTTTGGGGTTTTTTGATATCCTGCGGGAGAGTTACAATTCCGAGACTGGATCCATGTGCCTATACATGCAAAACAACGGAAACTCCGGTTGGTGGGAGCTCCGCCTTCGACGATCAAGTTAGAATGTGTTTAAGGAGTAAAAGGTGCGAAAAGTAAAAGTGATCTGGTTCCTCTAAGGGGAGGAGTGATCGAGGTGTGCAATTAATGCTAAGTCTGGTCTAGCAGGTAGTATGCACGAGGGTTTAGGTTTCTCCTGGTGAGATGATTAATTAATTCTGAATCCTGTTTAATGAAGGCTAATTACTGTATTTATAGCCTCGAAGTAGGTGCCCAATACTAGGTTAAATGGTAAACCTAGGACTGATTAGGCTTGCCTCGGAATTCGGGCCCAGTTGGCCGTTTTCCAGGTTGGCAGATAGTGGGCCACGTGGCGTGGCGCAATTGGTCCATGCTGGACCTCCTAGAATATGACACGTGGCAGCCCCTGATTAATCCACGTGGCTGACACGTGGTAGGTGCTGATTGGACCACGTGGTGGGGAAAAATCCCCTAAACAATAATCATGTTGGTATATATTAATAAAAATAGTATGATTTCTAATGCTTCTGCTTCTGCAACTTATGATGTTGATGGGAATTCAACTTCCCAAAATATTACTATGAAGAGTGGTGAAACAATCTTGTGTTGGATTGATTATGATTCTAGAAATAATCAATTAAATGTTAGTCTTTCTCTTTCCTTTGAAAAACCTAATAGAAACTTATCATCTTATGATGTAAACCTTTCTTCTTATTTAAATGAATTTATGTATGTTGGGTTTTCTAGGTCTACTAGTTTGTGTTACTTTATAAAAACACTACAAGAGGAGGGGTGAATTGTAGTATAGAGGAATAAGACAACTTTTTGCGGAATATAAAAAACTTAAGCTAAATGAACTCAAAGTCACACAAAGAGATTTTAGTGGAAAACATCTTGGCCCTAACAAGAAGAAAAACCATGACCACTTGGGATTTTAGGAAAAATTCTTTACTAGAATAGGGCAAACAACCTATTACAAGCTAAAAACACTTTCTCTAAGTTCCTCAACGAACTTAGAGTTCCCAGCAATAAGTCCCTCAACTTACTGTTCTTCTCTTCTCTCTCTCTCTTTCTCTCATTGTTTCTCTAGAGTTCACTCAAACTCCCCAATTCCCAATTACAAGAAATACTCTAATGAAAGAAAATAAGAAAGTTATCAACTAAAGTAGAATGCGACTCTTAACTCGTTGAAAACTTATAAGATAGAAACTGTCTGAACAAGGGTAAGTTTTTCCAGAAAATAACTTCTCTATTTATAGGAAAAACACAGCTTAATTAAAACGCAACCATTGCTCCAACTTACGCCATTACTGCTACAATCCAACGCCACTAACCTCCATCACTTCCAGTGCTTCAAACATGTCCAGAAACTTAGGACTCAGTTAAAGCAACAAGAAGAGGTTTCCTAGCCTAGTGGAGAAGACTGATTCAATTTCTATAAGTGTAAGATTAGGAAGTTAGTGAAAGATATTTTTGAAAAATATTTAACCGGAAATAAAAGATATTCTTTTAACCAAAAATCAGAAAAAGATATTTTTCACAAATAACTAAACTCCTATAATTAAGCAACTTCAAATTCTATCTTTTACCAAAACGTTTAAGCATTCTACTAAAGTATCAAACTCCTATTGACTCTCTGAAGAAGCCTTTACTCCGAGTCTTCATTTTCCAGCTCCAACTCTGAAGCTTATATTCCTTCAAGGGAACACTACAAACAGTCTCTGCTTTTGAGCTCCAGTTCCTTTGCTTCAAATGACTTTGCAACTTGTACTTACGCTACAGAGTCATGAAAATATTAGTTCCAAATATAAATTTGACTTGTGTTATCATCAAAACATTAAGTGCAACAGTTTGCTTGCAAGGAGTTTTAAGGTGAATGGTCAAGCTACCCCACTTGATTGACTATGTCACTCAGAGTATATATAATCCCACTATGGCTTTTAATTATCCTACATGCATTTAAGTATTACTCCGTAGAAATTTTTATACGGAGTAATTTGTGTAAGAACTTAATCTCTATTTATTCGAAATCATCTAACTTATCTAACTAATCCGGATTTAACTTATCTTCTTGTCGAAAAAAAATAATAATATAATTAATTTAACTTATCTTGTATGATCATAATAAATTGATGAATAGCATGGAACTTAACCTACCTTTTGAAAGATTAGGTATTACGTAGTAGGTTTGTTGGAATATTCGCTATGAAAATGAATTTATTTAAATGACCCTTAAATGACTTCGTTTGTTTTTACGTAGTAGATTTTTAGTTTAGTTTATGCTTTGTAAGTTCTCTTTGACTTCGTTTGTTAAATGCAAGTACACAACATGTATTAAAGTTAACCCCTAAATGACGCATGCGATTACTTCAGTAGAAAAAAATTAGGCTTCTCCCAAAATTCTATAAGATTAAAGAAATTAAAAAATGGTGGGTGACGAAATAGTATTACTTGATTCAATTTCAGGCAATGTGGGTGAAAATTACATTAGGGTCATTATATTAGAGAAGGATGTTGAGTATGTATTTATTGTATGTGAACAACAAAATTTGCTAAATCATGCTTTGCTCCATATAATAAAATCTTTAGAAATCAAGTCATCTCTCTTGGATGATGTTTCTTGAATGTACACATGAAAGACTAACCGATTAAGAATTAAATTGATATGTACCGACTTACGGAGTACGAAGTATAGTGTAGGCTCTGGTTGAATTTGGGTTTTTGTTGACAACTAAATCATGCCTCCTTACTGTTGTCCCTAAAGTTTTGATGATGATTTCATGGAACGTAAGCAAACTTATAAAGACTACTTAACTTGCTATTGGGTTGTGTGATGACAGGTTCTGAGTGAAATCGGGTTATGTGTAATGATGATCCAGAGAAGGAAGGAACATATAACATGGTTTTATGGCAGCTTATGGAGTTAAGGAAAGCAATGAAGAAAATCAAAGGTTGAGTTCCTTGAGGGAGGATCTAGAGCTTCAGAGTCGAAGTCTCAAAGAGAACTCAATGAGTCTAATTTAATTTTGTTTTATTTTAGGCTTCTTAAGTTTATATTTAGCACATTGATATGATTAGGAGTCAAGTGGATCTTTAATTTGTATGATAAGATTTATTTTCCATATTTGATGGATATTTTATTTGAGGAATATTTAAGATAAAATCTTTTTGGAAAATATATTTTAACAAAAGGTTTTTGTTTATTTATTTACTTATCATTTGGAAAAGCTCTTTGAACGTGTGTTTAGTTCAATCAAAGTTTGTTGAGAAGAGTGGGGAAGTGGCAAAACAGTTTTGAGAAAAAATAGTGAAGTTGCTTCTGCTTGCTTCCCAAGTTCCTCCTAACTGCACGTTCCTAAAACTTAGAAAGTTGTGGCTATGTGGGACTGAAGTAACGGTGGAAGTAACTGCCTTGCTCTTCTATAAATAGACTGAAATTTCAGTTGGGAAAAACACATTTGATCATTACAATCTTTCTAGTTTTTGAAAGAGTCAAAATCCACTTGAGTCTTAAAGTGTCTTTGTGCTTAATATTAGAGTTAATCTTGTGTTGTATTAAGGTTAGAGTTTGAGTGAACTCTAAGTGAGAATTGCTTTGAGTGAAGCAAAGAGAAAGAGAGAGTTTGAGTGATCAACTGGTTGAGGGATCAGTTGAGTGGGGAACTCGAGTTCATTGAGCAACTTGAGTTAGAGTCTTAGTTCGTAATAGGTTGTTTGCCATATTATAATTAAGAGTTAAGTTTTAAAATCCCTTGTGGTCGTGGTTATTCTTCTTGATTAGGGCCAAGAAGTTTTCCACGTAAAATCTCTCTTTGCACTTTTAAGTTCTTTCAAGTTTTATTTACAAGTTCTGCAAAAATTACCCTAGCTAGTTCCTATACAATACAATTCACGCCCCTCTTGTATTGTTTATTCGAGTCAACACTTACACTAACGTTCGATGATTGAAACTTTATAAGATTGCATACATGTGTGCAAGCTCATAAACGGGTTGAAGAGATGATTAAGTCCGACTTTCTAGCCTTTAGCTCAAACCTTAGCCCGATTTCATTAAGTTGGACCGTTTTCCTTTAATATATAATCTTTACTTAGTTTATTCCAAGTTTAATTTTCTAATGATCCTCATGATTTCTTGAATCCATTACCTTGAGAGTTCATTCGTTTTCAATATATTTTTAAAATTAATTAAAACTCAAAACACAATACAAGAACAAAAATTGTGATTTGTACTTTTTTTGTTGTTAGTTTTTAAAGTTATGATGATTTCTAATAAGTTTGACTAATTAATATTTTAAAAACTCACTATCTCATTTTATATATGCACTTGTTATTGTATAAGGCCATCATTTCAAATTGCATCAATTTCCCACTAAAATACAACTAAAAAAAAAATAGTGCAATTACAACTACTATCTAAACATTACGCATACAAAAATAATTGTTCAAAATATATCATTTAAAACGACCAAACTACTTATTTTAATAGAGAATGAGGACCCCTTATATTTTATGTGCACAATTATGCAACCCACCAATCTTCTATATAAACAAGTAGCAAAAATTAGTTTCCTACACAAAATTTAAAGATTAGACCCAAAAAAAAAAAAAAAAAATGGCGGGTGAAGAAATAGTGCTATTTGATGTGTGGACTAGCCCATATGCAATGAGAGTCAAAATTGCATTAGAAGAGAAGGGAATTGAGTATGTTTGTCAACCACAAAATTTGCTTAATAAAGGGTCTTTGCTTCTTGAGATGAACCCGGTTTACAAATTGGTACCGGTTTTGATCCATAATGGTAAACCCATTAGTGAATCCCTTGTAATTCTTGAGTATATTGATGAGTTTTGGGCTAAATCGTTTCCTTTGCTTCCTATTGATCCTTACCAACGATCCCAAGCTCGATTTTGGGCTGATTTTATTGACAAGAAGGTAACTCTATCGTATCTATTTGGTATTTTGGTGTCTTAGTATAAAGTATGTATCCGTCCGGTGTTATTTGACTAATTTTGTGTGGACTAATTTTGTTTGAATGTTATTGAAATTTATGTTATCTGAATTAATTAGTATTGTATGAGGATATATATTTTCTTAAGAAAAATTGGTTTTAATAATCCCAATTTTGTCTATTTTTCTTTTAATAATCTTAATTTTGGATTATTATAGAATAATCCCAACTTTGGATGAGTGTTTACTTTTTTTAATCCCAAACCGGTAAACGAAAGTCAATAACTTGTTATAACAGGTCATGTGCCACGTGTCAAGTTGTAATTGGTCCAAAAAATAAATAAAAATAAATAAATAAATTTAAAGTTTAAAAAAAAAAATCAGAAAACCCCTTATCCCTACCGGACCACCGTAATCCCCACCTCCTGACGCCGGCCGGCCGCCCCAACCCCTCCTTACCTCTGCCCCGATGTGCACCGGTTTCCCCCCATCCCCCCGCGCCAGGGGTTGCAACCCACCCCCACCCCCAATACCCGCTTCCGGTTCTATGCCTCCATCGAAAAACCCTACCGAACTCCCTTTAACCCCTCCATCCATTCGAAACACTATGAAAACTCCTCCCCCACAGACGAAACCCACCATCAAAAACCCTAGCTGCTAGGGTTTCGCGGTGGTGGGAAGGGCGATTGGAGGTTTTCAAAGTGGAGGAGGGGTTTTCTTAGCCTGGTGGTTGCGTAGGGGTTTCTGGGAGGGGGATGGTGGTTTAGAGGGAAGCAAAAGGGGCGACGCCAGGGGTGGAGGAGGACCGGTTGGCCGACAATGTAGGAGGCTGGGCAGAGCGGTGGCTGGATCGTTGTGCTAGTTGGGGTTTGGCTGGATGGTTTTTTTTTTTTTAAGTTTTGTTTTTTTTTTAATTTTTTTAAAAATCAATTAACAAGCGACACATGTCATTTAAAAAAAAAACATTCAACCGGTCACCGGTATTAGAATTGAAAAAAGAAAATTATTCTCAAAATTAGGATTATTCCAGAATAATCCAAAGTTGGGATTATTAAAAGAAAATGGAACAAAGTTGAAATTATTAATATCAATCTTTCCATTTTTTTATTGATATATCTAGATTTATTTGGTGAACTTATTTTATGTATGTTGTACGGAGTGCTTAATATCCTTTAGACCACTCTCAACGGTGAGCAAAAAAAATGCTCACTCACTATCTCTCTACCCACTTTCTCTCTCAACAAATCTGTTTTGCCCATGGGCAAATTTTTTTCACAATTTCTCTCCCAATGGTGAGCAAAAAAAATATTTGTCCACTACTCTCTCTCTCTTACTTTTTCAATACCCCACCATTACTTTCTCTCTCCTACACAACATTTCTTTATTTTTAATTTCATTTATATTTTAACAATATTACTCCAAATAAATAAAAACTAGTCTAAATTTTTGTAACTTATTTTTTTTTATTTGTGTCGTTTTTATCGTTAAAATAAAGAATATGGAGGATTTATGGTATTTCTGAAATTATACCAAAATGCATGTCTATTTATAGAGAATTAAATTTTATGACCGTTGGTAATTTTAATTTTTTTTTTAATAAATATTTATTTCAGAATTTGCATTACAAAAAATATAACCATTGCAAATTATGGGGCCCACCAAAGCACTATTCATCTTCAAAAATGCTCAAGTCTTGGGCATTTTCAGAAATGCTCATGAGCATTTTTTGGCTTTTTCTCATTTGCTCACCATTGTAATGCATGAGCAAATTTTATGCCCACCCAAAATGCCCATGAGCAAATTTTTAGCTCACCATTGATAGTGCTCTTAGTAACATTGTTCATTACCCTTCTTTAATGATCACAAGCAGTGGCGGACCTGGGCTTGTGCCTGGTGGGTTAAGTGACTCACTAGGGCCAAAAAAAATTTTAAGTTATTTAAAAAAAAAAAAAAAAAAAAAACTTTCTTTAGCTTCCCGAGTTACTGTCTTCCTCTGTTCCTCAAAGTTCAAACCCTAGTCTTCTTCTCTAGTTCTCTTCGCCTCTTCGCTTCATCTCCAGTTCTCCACCCAGCCACCGTTCTCTTCGCCTGCTCCGTCTCCGTGGAGTCGTGGACGGTGGACAATAACAGGAAAAGGGTAGTGAAGGGCTGAGATTTTTATTGCTCGAAAGAAAAAGGAAAGAAAAACAGGAGGCCTGATATTAGAAAAAAGATTAAAACCAAAACCGACTCCAAATACTTGCAGGTTATAAAATTGCAGTTTAGATTACTGAATTGCAAACCTCTTTCCTCTCAAATTTTCCAGAAAACCCTAATCGAAGAGAAGCAATAGAAATTGAGAAAAAACTTTAAAGAAAAATGGATGACTCTATCCCTGTTCGTCTTTTTTGTTCTATTCCTCCTCTAACTGAGTTTCGGGATGCAAATCCATGGGATAACACTAACCTCGATAAGTTTACGACGATCTTCTAGCGAAGTGGGACGAGTAAGATTATAATTTTCCAGATTTTATCAAACTTAAACTTTTCTTTGTCTTTGCTATTATTTAGTTTTCACAATTATGATTATTATTATTTTAAATCTATATTGTTTGAATTCTAAGTTTTTGTTTTAGGGGTAATAATGATAATAATGATAATGCTGAAGTGCTGACTTGCTGAGTGCCTGAGTGATTATTTTAAATCAAATGTTGAATGATTGTTTAATTACTTATTTGGAGAATGATTTGCTTTTGAATGTTAGCATGGAAGATATCATAAATCGATATCAAAACATGAAAACTCGTCGAGAACTATTGTAATAAGTTTGCATTACTATTTAATTATCTTTTGTAGTATTATATGAACATTTGGTTGTATTTTGTACTGTTTGAATATTTAGATGTATTTTTTAGTACTATTATTTGGTTGTTTGGTAAAAAAAATTTTTTACATATTTGATTATCGATTGTGACTCACCAGTCGGAAATTCCTGGGTCCGCCACTGATCACAAGTCTTGTGTATAAGTGTATGTACACAAACTTAGAAAAATTCTTGAATATTGGATGAATAATTTAAGATGGTATTCTATTACTCGTAACAAACCAACAACTACATAATTGATCAAAACTATAATAATGATTTTTTGGTTTTGTAGCCACACTAGTTTCTCTTGTAATCCTTTCCTATTAAAATTTATAATTTCATTTACACAGTTCAAAATTTATAATTTCATATACACAGTTAATATATTCATTTCTTATTAAATAATTCACATGCTAAATCAGTAGCTAATTTAAATTGCATTGTTTAAGCTAATTATTACTTATGCTTCCAAAAAAAGAAAAATAATAATGGGTTGTCACTTTAATGCAGATATATGCCGTAGCAAAACAACTATGGAGAGTAAAAGGTGAAGAGCAGGAAAAAATAATAAAGGAATTTATTGAAAACTTGAAGATATTAGAAAGAGAGATTACAGATGATAAGTTCTTTGGTGGTGATACGTTTGGATACGTTGATGTCGCATTGATTCCATTCACAAGCTGGTTTTACACCTTGGAAACATTTGGAAATTTTAGCATCGAGGCTAACTGTCCCATAATTATTGCATGGGCTAAAAGATGTAAAGAGAGACATAGTGTATCTAGTTCATTGCCGGATCCTGATAAAGTTTATAACTTCGCTTTGGACTTCAAAAAGGCTTTAGGGCTCGACTAAACCTTTATATACTACCTTTCCCAATTAAAATGTGCAACTTTTGGTTATTATTTGTTAGATATAAAAAATTTAAATGTTACACATTAATAATTAATAAAGGTAGTACATTTTATATGTATTTGTAGCCTTGGAACGTGTTGAACTATTTGGTAAATTTACGTGTATCTTCCATTTGTGTTATTAAGGATATATTTCTTAAACTGTGCTGTCTAATAAACAATATTATCGACTTTTATAGTCTTGGAGGCTTGGAGCTATGTACTACGTATTTGGAATATTTAATGAGGATATTTTGTCAATAACAATAATAGTTCGTTTCACCAATCTAAATATTTTAATATTATTGAAAGAAATATTTTACACAAATTTTTATATGTGGCTGGTTACACCGTATGGCCAGCCATCATGGAGGTTTGTTAGTGTTATAGAGGTTATTCGGTTAGTAATCTTAGTATTATAGGAACTAATTCGTCAATGTTATAGAGGCAGTCAGTATTATAAAGGTTACTCAGTCAGTGTTATAGGGGTTGCTTTACTGTTTTACAATCGGCCACATGGTAAGGTCAACCATACACAAACACGCTATTCTTTTTACTCATAAATACTTAAGACCAATTCTTTTGGACATATTTTCAGTTGAGTTAATTATTACTCTTTTCGTATCCTTGTATCGTTATTAAATTTTGACTTTGGTGGTCAACGTCTAATAACTTTAATTATATGATAAATTTACTATTATAGATTTAATTGTTTTTTTTAACGGAACGTGTTATATGGTGTGAAATCTTTTTTTTTTTCATTTTTAATTGGATGGTATTTTAAAATAATTTTTTTACGGGTGGTAAATTCAAAAAATGGGTTATTTATGGGCGGTAAAAGGCTACTGATATTGCCAAGGAAAAAAAAATCACTTAAATCACTCAAATCTCGTATTCCTCGTATTTCTCACCAGCCAGCACTATCAAAATATTAATCTAGATCTCACCGCTGCTAACACCACTGCGTTGCCGCCCTCTCCTCCGCCTCTGGAATCCACGCCGCTTGCATTTAAATTTACAATAATAATAAAATAATTGTATGATAGCAAGAATGAAGACAATGCCATAGTAGAGTACTAGAGAGGGAGGTGCGGGTAGAGAGTGAGAAATTAAGAAAGAGAGGTGGATTGCTAAACATCGCATACAAATTATCAACTAATGCCCACAAATTTCCATTGAATTGACAATATTGCCCTTGACCAAAAAAAAAAACACTCTCTCATCACCCAAAAAAAAAAATCTCACCCACTTTCATTCTAGGTTTTTTTAAAAAAAAATAATTCAAAGTACGGCAATGTCGAGGCGGCAAGGCAAGGAATTAGCGGCGGCGGCGGCAGAGGGAAGGAGGTCTCACAGTGGAAAGGTAGGTTTTTTTCCCAAAAAAATAAAAAATAAAAACTACCATGGCAAGGCGGGGCGCATGGGGAGGACGCCACGCCGGTGGTGGCGGCGCCAGGAGCAGACGCCGGAACCACGCCGCTGGCACCTGGGTTAGACGCCGCCGCCACGGTTCTGGCGTCTAGAACTGGCGCCGCCACCAACAGCGTGGCGTCCTCCCCATGCGCAGCCAGTACCGGTGTGGCGTCCTGCCCATGCGCCCCCTCCCCCCCCCCCCTTTTTTTTTGTTTTTTTTTTTTGAAAATCAGTTTTGTTTTTTTTTTTTTTTTTTGAAAATCAGAATTTTTTTTTGTTTTTTTATTTTTTTAAGTAATTTTTTTTTTGAAATTAGAATTTTTTTTTTGTTATTTGTTTTTGTAAGTTTTTATTTTTTAAAATCAGATTTTTTTTATTTTTTTGAAAATCATTATTTTTATTTTGATTTTTGTTTTTTCAGTAATTTTTTTTTGAAATTAAAATTTTGTTTTTTTTGTTATGTTTTTTTAAGTTTTTTTTTTTAAAAAAATCAGAATTTTCTTTTTTGTTTGTCTTTGTATATGTTGTTGTTTATTTTTATAAATTTTTTTCAATGTTGTATTTTTTTTTACGTTTACATTTCCTTTACATTTCTTTGTATGTTTGTTTTGTACATTTTTTTTTATTTGTTATTGCAATTTGTTAGTATGTTTTTCTGTTTAGTTTATAATGTTTTCGTTTAGTTTTTTTTTTTGTAATTTTTCTTTTATGTTTATATACATTTTGTATGTGTTGTTTTTTTTTCTTTGTTTGTGTATATTTTATTCTTTAATTTATTTTAAGTGTTATGTTAATTTCATTTTCAGGTTATTTTGCTAGTATTTTTTTTAGTTTATTTGATTTGGTTTTTGGTAGTTATTTTTCTTATAAGTTTTTTTATGTGTATACATTTTTTAATTTTTTGAAGGTGTCGCATTTTCGCCATGGTGCGGGGAAGAATCTAAACCTTATTAGAAGTGGAAACTACTCGATGGAGAGCTCGGGGCCCAGACATCTTAGATCCCGTGGTATTTTGGCCTCGGCTCGTAGAGAACGGGTTCACCATCGGGATGAGGATGAAGATGATGATGATGATGATGAGGAGGAGGAGGAGGAGGAGGAGGAGGAGAAGAAGGGCGCATATGAGGATGTGGACGATGGGAGTGGACCATATGATGATAACGGTCCATTTAGTCAGAGGCTAGATGATATGTACAAGACGCATAGGGTAGATGTGCGTTAGGGTAGGGATGGTAGGTTTGTTAGTAGATCTGGCACATCATCTGCGTCCACCGTGTCTGGGGCAAGCAGAAAACGGTCGAGGGCCGTTAATAATTCTTGGGTGGTTAAGGGTGAGGTGACTGGGGGGCCTGTAGACAGTAGTGTGATTCCTAGCTTTCTAGGACACATAGCTACCCGTATCTGGGAGGACCAGGAGAGGGGTTTGGTGACGGGCATTTTGAAATGCCAAACCCGGGAAAAGATTTGTACCGTTTTGAGCAGATGGGCTGAGTCTTGGCCGGTGGAGAGCGAGATGTTTGACCGACTGCAGGGCACTGGGGTGAATCACCTTCCTGCCACCATACACGATAAGATTGACTGGACACTGATCACGGCTTTCGTTGAGCGATGGCACTCGAATACGAACTCTTTCCACCTTCCATTCGGTGAGATGACGATCATGTTGCATGACGTCGAGGCCATTCTTGGGATTCGCGCAGAGGGTAAACGCCTTTCTTTTGTGACTGATGCGGATCAGGCAGATTTGCTGGCGGAGCTGTTGGCGATGGACAGGGCTGCGCTGTACACCGGGGCGCTTGGTGTTTGGGACCACCGTGGTGTGAAGATCGCATCCGTCTTGCAGCGTTGTTTGCACCCCGGTGCACGTAGGACGCACGACGCACAATTGGCTGCTTATGTTTTTCTTCTCCTCGGGTGTACCTTGTTTCCGGATAAGAGCGGAAACAAGCTCAGGCCACGCGACATAGTTGATGTGTGTGAGCCCGACAGTGTTGGCCAGTTTTCTTGGGGGTCGGCTACGCTGGAGTATCTGTATCGCCAATTAGCACTACTAGAAAACACCTTATTTACGACGGAAATATTCCGTCGGTAAATCTTGTAAATCCGTCAGAAAGGGATATTTCCGACGGAATTCCGTCAGAACACGTCGTTGGAGATCACTTTGTCGGAAAAACGGCAATTCCGACGGAATTTTTTCGTCAGAAGAGGTTTCTCCGGTACCGAAAATTCCGTCAGAAAATTTAATAGAAAAAAATTAAAAAAAAAAGCCCCACCCACCACCCCCACCACCAGCCCACCCCCTGCCACCATAACCTAGATCCCCACCCACTAGCCCCCTGACTTACCCCCCTACCCAGCCCCACCACCAACAGCCCACCCCACCCCTGCCCCCTACCCTCCTAACTTACCCAGACACCGCACCCCACACCAGCCCACCCCCACCACCAGCCCACCACAACCAAGATCCCCACCCACCACCAAAAACCCCGATCTACCCACCCACCTAAACCACGTTCCAAAAAAAAAACAAATTCAAAATCCAAAATCAAATAATCAAAATAAAAAAAAATCAAAAAAAAGAAAAATCAGAGAAAAGTAAAAAAAAATAAACCGAAAAAAAATCAAGAACACGAAATATGAGAAGAAAAAAACGAAAAAAAGGCAAAAAAAAAACACGAAAAAAAAGCAGAAAAAGGCGGAAAAAAAAACACAAAAATATAGAAAAATCAGAAGAAAAAAGCTAAAAAATCAGAAAAAAAAAGAAGTAAAAATGCCGAAAAAAAAATAAGAGAAAGTGAATAAGAATACTCACCTTGAATTCCATCAAAACCGCTTTAAAGGTCAAATTCGACCATGAAAACTCTAGTTCTAGGGTTTTCATGGTCGAATTTGACATAAAAAACCGTATTTTGTTGGTTCGTGGTTCGTGGTTGCGTAGCGGTTGCGGTGGTTCGTGGTTGCGCAGCGCGGCGGTTTGTGGAAGGGGAAGGAGGAAAGAGGAACGAAGGGGAAGGAGGGGAGAGAAACGAAGGGGAAGGGAGGAGAAAAAGCAGAGAAGGGGAAGGAGGAGAGAGAAACGAAAGGGAAGGGAGGAGGAACAACAGAGAAGGGGAAGGAGGAGAGAGAAACGAAAGGGAAGGGAGGAGGAACAACAGAGAAGGGGAAGGAGGAGAGAGAAACGAAGGGGAAGGGAGGAGGAAAGTCAGAGAAGGAGAAGAGAGAGAAAGAGGAGAGGAGAGGAGAAAGAAAAATTCAGGTTTTTTTTTATATATATATTATAAAGTTCCGACGGATTTTTCCATAGGAAAATTTCCGAAGGATAAAAAATCCGTCGGAATATTAGGGTTTCCGAGGGAATATTCCGTAGGAAAATTCCGACGGATTTAAATTCCGTAGGAAAACTAACTTTCCGACGGAATATTCCGTCGGAAGCCTTTTATTCTGAGGGAATTAATTTCCGTCGCAATATTTCCGACGGAGTTTCCGTCGTAATGAACCTTTTCCATCGGAATGTTCCGACAGACCCTATTTCCGTCGGAAAGTTCGGATTTTTCGACAGAATTTGGGTCCGTCGGAACAATTCCCTCGGAAAACGGCCTATTTCTAGTAGTGTAGGATTTTTGAGTCGGGCTGACGCAGTAGGTATCACTGGATGTCTGACTTTATTGCTGACCTGGATATACGAGTATTTTCCTGCATTTCGACCACACTGTGACCCGGTTCCTATTGGTGATGGGATGCCCCGTGCCTGTGCGTGGAGTCCGCGGTTCGAGAAGAAGTTCGTTGACCGCCTCCGATCGATACGGTTATCGCTTGACAGGATGTCCCCCTTATAGGTAAAGTGTATAAATTATTTCTAAATTTG